ATGTACAGAGCTGGGACAGGGCTGTCTGTCCATCACCCCTGATACAGGTTGGCACAGCTATAGCCAACAGTTCTTTTTAATGGATTGTGATAGGATTACACTTCCCCTGCCAGGAGTGATTCCTTTGGCTGTGTTTAGTCCAGGCTAATTATAACATAATTAGCACATTCCCATTACAGCAGGAGACTTTCCCACCTTTGAAGCTTGAGCATTCCTTCTCTGGGAGAAATGTGGGTCTAGAATTGGCCACAGCACATACTGTGCAACACCTGACAGGGCCCTGACCGAGCTCAGGGTGTCCAGACCATTCTGGGGAGCTGTGAGTGCTGCTCTGCAGTCTGCTCCTCCCAGAATCATGGAATCATTTTGCTTGGAAAAGACCTCTGAGATCATCGAGCCCTGAGAGGCTTCTGTGGAGATGGAGCAGCAGAGATGCACCTCGAGAGATGTCCCAGAGCAGGGGCAGGGAGGTCTCCATGTCCCCATCCCAGTGGTCTGCAACACCTGAGTGACTTAAAAAAACACATTGAAGAGTCTCACCCTTAGGGTGAATGGAGGGAATTAAACTCATGTGCCCTGCTTCAAAGTCTCACACCCATACGCTGGTTTGGGAGCTGAAAGTTAAGGACTTGACAGTTTTAAGTGTTCTAATGTTGAGGAATGGGGAAGTGGAGGTGACACAGATTCCGTGTCTTGTTGCATAAGAGCATTTCTTTTGTTGTCACTTGTTCTTTGTTGTTTTTGTTTTTTTTTTTTTTTCCAATGAAAGCTTTTCTTAGTTCATAATGAAGGTGAGTGCTTGGTGGTGTTTTTATTAAAGCTGCGGGTCCTGGAGCAATACAATCACGGGAGAATTTCATTTTTCAGTGTTTGGGTTTTTTGTTTCTTTGTTTGTATGTTTTTGTTTCCAAGCTAAAGTTCTATTCTTTGTAGTTCTGGAGAACCATGACTGAGGTGTATTTGCTTACAACTTTAAGGGAAACAAAGAGCCTCCTATTTGCTACTTTGTAGCCAACCAAATTATTTTGACTTGCATTTGATTGCTTGGGGTTAGCAGTCTTTATTTTCCGCGGAAAGAAGCAATGTATCGCTCGAACATCCAAATTTCTTTTCTGGAAAAAAATGAAGGACACTCGATGACAAGAGAGCTCCAGCTCCGATTTATAACCAGGTAATGAGAAATTGCTGAATAACATGCTCATTTGCTGCCACCAGAAGGTAATAAATCTTCCCAATTTTCTTGGGCTGTGAGAACACTGCAGACCAGTCCCCTGAGCAGCTTCCAACACAGAAGTGGAGGGGTTTCCGTGGTGCAGCACATTTCCCTGGTGCACAGCAATCTCCAGGCTGCCTTTTATGATTACAAAACCATTCCCTGGGTGCTGGGGATGAGGAGTCTCCAGACAAGATGCCCCCACTATTGCTGATGTGCTATTCCAAGTGGGGGTTTTATGGAGATGTTTGATGCAAAGGGGCTTCCAGCATTTGCTGTGGCACTGACACCAATGAGTTAAGCAGCAAATAGTCCCAGGGGTGGACTGTGAACTTTACTGCCAAATACAAACAACTTTTCTGAAAGCAGCAGGGAGAGCCTGGCTCCCAAACAATGCTGGGCTCTCTGGATGGGCTCCAGCCCAGGTGAGCACACCTTGCTGGTGACAAGGACTTACCCCTGAGGGAAATGTTCTCTGGCAAGGACAGCTCAGTGTCAGCTGGCCAGGGAAGGGCTGTCTCGCTCAGAGGAAACATGGGCCCTGCAAAATCAGGGGGTTTATTGTGTTGATGTTGGCTGTGAACTCCTTTTTTAAATTTTTTAGGGTTTTTTTGCTCAAGCTAAATGAAAGTCGGTGTGTGGGGTGAGAAGTGATGGCTGGCTGCCAGCTGCTGGCGTTAGATGTGCCAGCTCAGAGCAGGAAAAATCTGAACCTCTCTGTTGCCAGACTCTGCTGCCCTGCATGGGACATTTCTCCAGCTCTCTGCTTGAAATGCAGAGCCTGAACTGCCACAGGGAGGACAAAATTTAGGCAAAGGACTAAGGCAAACATTACAGTCAATGACAAGGACGGCTGTGAAAGCTCACGGTGTCCTCTGTGCTGTCTCCTGGCAAGCCTTACAAACAGGTTTTTAATCTTTTTACAACTTGTCAAAACAAACTCATCTAATTCCCTCCTGTCTTTTCCTCAACCCTGCTAGGGAAAAAAGAAGGAAAAAAAGAAATAAAAAATCAGTGGGAGCTAAACCTTCTGCTTGCTGTAACAATGTTGGGAGTTGAAGACCAAGGTACATGGCTGTACCCAGAGGTGCCTCTATCTTTTCTGGAGACTTAATGAGTCCAACTACTTCCTAATCTATTGAAACAGGAAAATTCAGACACTCCCTCTGGAGGGGAGAGCTAGATGAAGGGACTCTGCAGTGCTGCTTGCAATTCATTGTGTCTTAGACTCCAAAGCCATGCTGTGAATGGCTCTTTTTATCTGTAGATGGAGCTGATAACTAATCCCTTCATGTGTGGGGAGTGAGGGACATATATCTAGGGATTGTTTTTCCCAGCCCTGAAATGCTGTCACCTCTAGGATGGAATTAACAGCAATTTACAGGGTGTATTCCCTACATTCCCTTCAGTGACACAAATTGCTTGGGATGAAAGGTGTCAAATCTGCAAAGGGCACTGCTGAGGTTGAATAAGAGGTCGGTGCTGTGAGCACAGGGCACAGGGCTTCGGTTTAACATGGCTTTGCTCCTGAATTGAAGACATGCTCTTCCCTCTAAATGTCAGTGCAAAAACCTCTGAGGTTGTGACATTTGGAGTGTTGTGCTGGTGGAGAGCAGAAGTTCCTCCAGGCCTGGATCCTTGCTCTGATGTGGACCAGTAACAGAAATCAGGGAAAGAGGAGGAGAAATGGCCAGTAACCTCTCCACTAACATATTCTTGCAGCTTCCACCAGTGAAGACAGAAGTAACCATCTGGATTTCCCTGTTCAATACCAATACCATGTCCTGCATGAATTTACCTAGTGTCCTTTTTTTAAAATCAATTAGGTTTTGAGGCTTTATATCAAGTGATGGCAACTTGCACAATTTAATTTTATGCTGCTGAAGGGGAAAAACCATCCTCCAGTTTGTCTCAAGCCTACTAGCTTATGTTATGAGCTTGGCCGAGTCCTTGTTGGGAAAACAGCAACTCCACAGTCACCTTCTCTTTAACAGCTGTAGGTTTACAATGGTCCTCTGTCCTCTCAGGAGAAGTTTCAGTCCATCTATCTGCCTGTCATGCCCACAGGCAGCTTTCTGAACACAGCTCCACCATCCTCAGCAGCTCTGGATATCGCTGGCTGCTGTGCCCTCTCTCTGCTCTCTTGACTGAAGTGCTTCCCAGGCTTGAGAGTGGGAGATAATATATTTTTAGTAGCTTCTCTTCCTTGTTTTTGCAGCTTAAGTAGAAATATTAATGTCTAATTTAAAGGGCACATTTTACAAGGTTATCTCAGGCTTGGAGCTGAGTGTCTCTTTTTTTCTTTTCTTTTTCTCTTTTTCTTTTTTTTTTTAAGGAAAATATTTATTATGCAATGATTAAGAGAGCAGCAATTTTTCCCTAGCTGAAGCGATACAGGGAGGGATGAGATGGGCAGGTCTGGGGTTCTTGGGGATCTCCCCCAATGGCATTTATGTTGGGAATGAAGGATGCTGCTCCCGTGCCTGCCCCAGGAGCACCTCAGGACTGGCACAGACACACCAGCACCGGCGCTGCCGCTGCCAGAGGGGACTCAAGGAGCCGTCCTGAGCCTGCCCCAGGGCTGCCGGCTGAGCCTGCACAAGGGGAGCCTGTTCCCCTGTGTTTATGGCCTGGCATGAACAGCAGGACATGGGAGAGTGTGCTCTGGGAGAGCCTGGATAGAGGGAGCCTTGTTGGCGCAGCCCATCACTGCTGCTCCCTGCATGGCCGGGCTGCAGCGGGTGTTTGACTTGGACAGGATTGCTGGGAGCGAGGTTTGTCCAGCCCCTGAGCTGCACCTTTGCTGCTCCTCCAACAGCAGAGAACCAGCAGTGATGCTGGATTTAGGAAGACCAGTGTGCCTGCAGTTACTGCCGTGCCTTTATCCTGTGTCTCCTGTTCCTTCTGGCCCTGGCTGTTCCGTGCTGTGCTCCTCAAATCCCTAACCCAGGCTTGTTGGATTTAGCAGTATTATGGAACATAAGCCTGGAAGGGTCTGCTTGTGCTGATGAAGGTACTGGCTAACTCACTGGTGGCTTATGAATTGCTGCTAAAGATGAACTAATTAAAGACAGCATTTAGTTTACTAATGCTTTATCAGACTTCAAACTGAAGTAGAAACTCCTCAGCTGTTCCCTTCCCTCGCTCCTCTCTTCTCCACACACTCTTTTGGTAGGTTTCTTTAGTGTTTCTGAGGTTTGATCTTCTATGCCAGCCAATATTTTTCACTCCTGCTTTAACTAATGGAAATCTGATTTCAGATGAATCTGATGGTAATGATGGATGTAATTAACCATCTCCACATCCCACTTCCTCTGCCCGTTTCTTTGCTGCTCACTGTCACTTTTAGGTCAGCTCTGGCCTGCAGAAAGTACCTCAAGTGATGGAAATGCCTGGTAGCAGCTGAGCAGGTACCAGTGCCTGGAGGCAGGTTTTAAAGGTGGTACCTGGTGTCAGCTTGGCACCTGCAGAGCCCCAGACTCATCACTGCCAGCTCTTGCTCATTACAGCCTGTGCTTCTCCATCCAGCAGCCATCCATGTGATGGCTGCTGCACTGAGGAATGGCTCAAGCTGCTCTGAACTCCCTTTTTAGAAAGTGTTAGCCGTGGTGTTGGATGCATCCCACCCTGGGGAGAGGCAGGAAGTCCTCAGGGAGGAGGATGAGAACAAGGCACGTGGCTCGTGCTGGGGAATGGCACATCTTGAACCCTTGTAGGGCAGTTACAGCCTAAGGAAGGAAGTGCTTTGTCCGTCTGATGGCTGATCAAACCACTCATCCTCCAGCCCGTGTGTGCCCGGAGCCTGCCGGAGTTACCTCCCCGGAGCGAGCAGAGCGGACGCTGTCCCAGCCTGCTGGGAGCATCCCTGCCACCTTCCTGGCTCCCAGCCCAAGCCTGGCTGGAGCCAGCGGGTGAGAAGCCCGCAGAGCCAGGCTCGGATTGCAACAGGCTCCTCCTCCGAAGTCTGCCGAGAGGGAAGGAGAGGCGGGGAGCAGGACTCAGCAACTTCAGGCTGCCAACCTGCACCCTGCCAGCGGCCGGGGACGGCGCTGGGGGCCCGGATCTTCCCAAGCCGCATCCCATGGGGAGCATCTCCCACCGCCGCCCACCGTCAGCCCGGCATGGAGAGCCTGAGCAGCAGCCTGAAGAAGAAAGCCACCGAGCAGCACTACCGGGCAGAGGTGATGATTGCTGGAGAGCAGCTGAGGTAGGAGGTGTGGGGTCCTCCTCCAGCCTGGGGCAGGGCTGTACCCGGGGCTCTATCCCGTTAGCAGGAGGCTCAAAGCTTTATCTCTGAGCAAGCACTTTCCCCCCAGGTGTCAGTATCGCCCCCTCCCCAGTACCTGCTGATCCTTCCTTCACCCACCAAACCAGCATTGAGCCAGGTCCTTTCCCACATTATCTTGTCCTGCTGCTCCTCTGTGGCATCTCCTGCAATTCAGCTCCAGGTGCCAGAAACTGGCAAGTGGGTTGAGTTGGCAACAATTTTTTTTCTCCCTTTGCACCTTCCCCCAAGTGCAGAGCATGGTGTGCTGGCACTGAGCAGCCCCCCCCAAGGTCCCTGGTCCCTGCCTGGATGGGGTCAGCATCGCTTCTGGGGATGTTTGGACTTTGGGGTGACTTAGAAGGGCATCTCCTGAGTGCCACGTGCCTGAATTGGATCTTACCTCTCTTGAAAGTCACTTTTGGGAACTTCTGCTGGTTTGCAGTCCCAGCTTTTAAGCAGCTTCTGAGATTTATTTTTTCCTATGAAGACAAAAATCTATTCTATGCAAGAAAACCTGTGTGGCTCAGAAAGCGTTTTCCTTGTGCATCTGGGGTCAGAACCCTCACTTTCTTCAAAGCATGTGACTGTGGGCTTTCCTAGCTCTTGAGCAGAATGTGCTTGTTTGTATCTGAAGTCATTCTGGTTTGTTTTGAAATGTGGGTGGAAATTAGGAAATATATCCTGAATAATGTAAATAGCCCAGGGTTTGATTTTTGCTAGCATCAGATTCCTAAAATTAGCTTGGTGTTGCTCTGTTGTCCATTCTCAGAGAGTACTGTTAGCTTTAGCTTTATTATTTGCACTGTATCAAGGACTGATAACTTCCAGCTAAGGACTGGGGCCCCATCTTGAAAACACAACCAGTGTTCAAAGTGGCAGGGAAAGTTTATTCATATTTTTGTCTTATTTATATTTCCAGTATTTTACTCATCTGGGGCGACTGAGGTTTAAAATGAGTCCTATAGCCAGGGCCAAAGGAAGGGATCAGGTATTCAGAGAGAAAATGAAATAATCAAGCTGTGAGTTAAAACTGTGCTCCATGTGTGGGGAGTGATGTGTCTTCCTTGTACCTCTTGCAGGGCAGGAGCATATCAGATGCTGGACCATTGGGTGATTGTGGCTGTAAAGTGGAGAAGGGGATACAGTAAATTTATTTGTGAACAGATCTCTTCTAGTACACTGCCCACTGGGATAAAGTTGAATAGAAAACCCAAAATTCAAGTAGTTTTGGGGACACCTATCTGAGAGTTCACAGTGATGGAAAGAAGGGCCCTTTTACTGGTTGCTGGGAATGCTGCAGTTGCATCCTTCAGCTTTGGTCTGGGCAGGAGCCCATTGCCAGTGCAGAAGGACGGGAAGGAGCTGCTGGCCAGCACAGGGTGTAAAACCTGGGGAGGAGGGTGAAGAGATGGACACCAGCCTGCAGGTGGGTTCATCCTTTCCTGAACCCCTGGCTAGAAGGAGAACTGAGTGATGAAGAACATGCTTAATATTTATTTGGGGGATCTTACAGCCTGGCAGGTAAGTAGTTAGTGGTATGAATCTTCCTGGGACCTGGATTTCCAATGCATAGCAATGGGGAAGGTGAGGCAGAGAGGCTGGATGATGTCTCAGACAACAGTAGATGGACATGGCTAAATATCCACGTTGTTCTCCCCCTGCTTTTCCCCACAGATGGAATACAGAAGCATGTGAAGGAGCTTTGCAGGCTGCCCTGACTCTGTAAACCTCCATCAGCAAATAACATTGTTGCATCTACACGAAATATCAAACATTTGTTTTTCCCTGTTCTCCACTTCCTGCCCTGCCTCCCCACTATCACATTTAGTCAAACAAACCTTTGCTCCATCTTTACAGTTCTTTGGCTTCCCAGCAAGTTTGCAAATCCCTCTGAGTTTGGTTTGGCCAGAGGGATGAGTCTGTTCAGTGTCAGGATGTGTTTCCCAGCCAGAAATAGCTGCACGAGGGAAGGGTGAGGGAATGCTTCCTGGGGATGGCTGGGAATGAAATGGATCCTAAAGGAAGAGAGGGGAGATTGGCCAGTGTGGTTTGGGCTGTCTATCTGCTAGGTTCTCTCTGCTTCCATGAGGATGCTGCTGTTTGGTCTTTTAAGGGGGAAGAGGAGTTTTGGGTGTTGAGTCTCTCTCCACTAAAAAGATGAAAATAAAAATTCTAATTGATATTCCGGTCTGGAGTTTGAGAGGACTCCTGTCCTGGGCTCATTCCTCACATCTGCTGCCAGTCTTCTTGTTTCAGACATATAAACTTGCATGAAAATCACACCAGTTTTACTGGGCGTTGTGTGTTCCTGGGTGGCATTCTGAAAGAGAGGCCCAATTAGTCACTTTTAATTGCAACAAATGGCTTATCTGCACAGAGATATTCTGGAACAGCTTCCACGCTTTGCATTCACACCCTGCTGTAATCAGAGACTCTCAAGTATGGACAAGCCCTTGTGCACTCTCACCTGGGTATTCCCATGGTCAAGTGAACCAGCTGGGCTCTAATAACTCTGTTAAGCTTCATTAATCACTCTTAAACATAAAATATACTCAGTAAATTTATGTCTTGTGCAGAAAAAGGGAGAGGAGAAGGAAGGTTTTCTCCTATGAAGAACAAAGTTGTGATTTCAGCCACTGTCCCAAGTTTTCAGAGGTGACAAGTGTTTTATTTGGATAATCAAACTGCGATGCTGTTAAACAAAGTGTTCATGCTTTGATGCTCTGGAAATTGGGCTCGCTTAAAGATGTGTAGCTGAACATGCAAAAATTTGTATTCTTACCCAAAAATCTTGGGTCTGCCGGAGTTTTGGTGGTTCTCTGTTGGACTTGTATCCCTTCTAGCGGGGATGTGTTCCTTGAAGAATTGTGAGGCACTGCTTGATGCAGCCGTGAATGTTATTCAGGAGATGATACTACATAGAATGACTTTTAGAAGTCAATTATTAAATTTTCAGCACTAAAAGCTGAGTAAAAGCGAGGACTGGGAAATAGACTTGTGCTTGTTGGGGTTTCTTTTTGAGATTTTGGTCTGTTTTAAATACAAGTAGGAAAAGAAAACATCTCTGTACCACTTTGGGCTGCCACAGGCAGGCAAAGCTCTCCCCTCTTCCCACATGTACTGGTGCTTTTGCAGACTGGGGGTGCAACAAACTGCAGTGCCTGTGTCACCTGAATGTGCCTCTCCAGCAGCTGCTTTGCAGAGATTCTCTTGTGGCTGTTGTTACCTTTTAGTGAGCACTTAGCTGATTTGGGGGGTTTTTTTGTTCTTTTTTTTTTTTTTTTTTTTTTTCTGTGAAAATAGGAACAAAAAAGATCCTTTGGATGAGGCATCTTTCCAAGGCCATTCATTAGTGCTGAACTGCTTTGGGAATGCTGACTGCAGTTAGTATCCTTGAAAGATCCACCTTGGCATTTGAGATGCTCAAGGTCTGTTTACACGGGTGGTGATGGAGAGTTTATTTCTCTTCTGTTTGCACTGCTGTGGATGTCCCTTTCAACAAGGTTACACAAGGATGAATAATGATGGCTTTGTAGTGACCTTGACAGAGAAACAATTCGCTTACCCAACACAACCAAAGCAAAGCAAATGCACATGGAAGCAGTGCTTTGACTGCCAAGCCAAGAGTATTTCATAAGAGCCCATTCCCATGTTCCAGGAAGTGTTTTATCCTGGCTTTATTCTGCTTTTTTTTTTTTTTCCCTTTTGGAGAAATAATGTGTTCACAGGGTAGATTTTGCTGTCTAGAAAACTCATAATATTGCATTATATATATTTCCTTAATTTTTTTTTTTTAATCTGGAAGCATGATTATAACCCAGTCATGCTTTGTTTTATTACCATCATACAAGAGCTGCTGGAAGACGCAGTTGCTGTTACATCCTGTGTCTGAAGGACAAAATTTGTCTCCTCAGAGTTGACAGGAAACAGTAAACAAGAGGAAAGTGAAAAGAGCACAAGGACACTCGAGTGGTGCCTTTTCCGCTGCCCTGGTTCTGTGGGACAGAGGGAAAACTTGTCACAGTCTTAAAACAGCCCACAAAGCTCCAACGTGCTGCTGCTCCAGAGGTGCTGAAATACCACCTAACTCCTGTCCTGACAATTTTCCCCAACAGGATAGTTTCAGAATAAATGCATATTTTATTTTTATTTTTAAATCTTAGGTGTTAGCAGCACTGTTTCTTGGAAATAATTTTTCCTTTCTTTAATTTTTCTTCTGCAAGACCTCTTAATTTTTTTTCTGTATTCTGAAACACGATTAAAAAAAATATCTATAGGGGAAATAGTGTTCTCCCAATGATTCAGACCTTGTGTGTCTATTTGTTATTTTATGTGAAAGGCATGTCTGAGTGTGTGTATATATATAAATGTATATATGTGTGTGTGTGTATATATCTCTCTATATAATGTTTATGGAGTCCTGCAGTCTCTTTATGGCAATAGAGCACTCTTGGAACATTTCTTATCTCTACCAAACATGCCTCTAAAGTGCCTTCCCACTTGCTAATTGCAAAGGAAAGAAAGTATATAAAATTGACTGTGTCTTCCCCCGTAGCAGAGGGAGGGGGAGCCTGTTTGTAGTCACTGCTGGCTGTGCCTGATTGCATTTTGACAGTGGACCATGAAATAAAGGAAAGAAAAAGGCAAAACCTCTAAAAATAGCAAGGCAGCTGTCAGTGGACTGTTCTTTCTGGGTAAAATCCGTATTCAGAATGAGTTCTGGTCACCTGTGGGAATGAGCCTTCCAGGTAAAGAGTGAAATGCTGAATATAGACCTCAGGATTTGAGGGAGGTCTGTCAAAGGCAAGGCCAGGAGCTGGCTCTGCACGAATCTTTGGTTTAAGCTTTGAATTTCCGGGAATGTCTAAAAATTTCTGTTAATCATACTGGCTTGTAGTAGCCTCAGCATTAACTGCAATAATCAATTACTGATTTTTCATCTTAAAGAAGTTTTTATCGTTAGATGTTTAGGACCTTAATATTTGTAAATCCTACAATAGAGGATAATCCATTGTTATCTGATAGATTTTTAGGGTACTTAAACTTCTCATATGGTACCTAAAACTGTTGTCCAGCATGCTGTGTTGTACACAGAACTTTTCCACAAAGAACAAAAGAACTCAAGGCATGAAATAACAAAAGGCTGCAGTGATTAATGCCTTAATAAAATACACTGGCCCAGGGCAAAACCAGGAATTGAGGAGAATAATTTGAAACCAAAAACATCCTGGAGTTACAGAGAAGTTTAATTAATATCTCCCTTCTGAGCCTGCTGCATGCAGCCTGCATTTTCCAGGGTTGGTGTTTTGGGAACGGTCATGACTATAGGGCAGAACTTTGGCCCCTGGACAGATCTCCTGCCAGACTGGGTTGGCTTTGGCTGGAACACAGAAGAACTCTGTGCCTTGTGGCTTGCTCAGTTGTTAAGTCCTTTTGAAAGTCAAAGCCATGCTCACCTGAGTACTTTTGCCCATATATATCTTTCCATCAGAGCTGCAGACTAGCCATAACATCGGGGTTTTCAGGATAGGAAGGTTGTTGTTTTTGTAAACTCTGTCCCAGTCAATCCCACTTTGAAGCAGAAAATGTCAGGACTGTTGTCCACCGTTGCTGTGGATTAGTGGTTCATGGATTAGCGGGTAGTGATGGAATCCACCTGGCACTCGCTGCTTTGACAGAAGAAACCAAGGCTCCTGTTACTGCTCCCACCTGGAGCTATGACTAAGACTTTGTCCTGGGGGAAGCTTTATTCCTGTTTTCATGGTCATGGGGAAGGAGAACTAGACACAGAACAGTGCCAAGATGACAAATATACGTACTGCTATTTTTTTTCCTGAGTTTTGTCCCCTCTTCACCCCCTCTGGTTTACTGCTGGGTGGTTGCCAGAAGTCCCAACTCGTCAGCAGTGTCTCCAAGCTGGACAGATGCTGGGCAGTCAGATCCAAATTCCCCTGTGACACCAGCTGTGCTCAGTGGCTGCCTTTCCCTCCAGGCTTCGCCTCCACGATGGGAAGCTCATCAAGGACAGACGTTTCCACCTCCGGACGTACCCGAACTGCTTCGTGGCGAAGGAACTCACGGACTGGCTGATCGACCACAAGGAAGCGCCGGACCGGGAGACCGGGATCCGCCTCATGCAGAAGCTGATGGACCACTACATCATCCATCACGGTGTGTGGGTGTCTCTGCTGCCTGCTGAGCCCCCTCAGGGAGGTGTCTGTGTGTCTGCTCACCGTGTGTCCGTCAGCCCAGGATATGGAAGTGTGGCCAGGTCCCTGTCCACCACTTTCCTACGGGAAGAAGCTTCTCTCCTAGAGAAGCTGGGAGAGGATGGGTAGGCAGGAGGCTGTGTGGGGCTGGATCCGTGTGATGGTGCATTGCTCTGGGGAATGCGCCAGTTCCCTGCCCATCAGAAAAGGGGCTTGGGCTGTGTGCTGGTTAAAGGGCATCTGAAGTGTCTCCCATTTGGAAGCAAGTTCAGTAACACCTGGCCTGCATTGTCCTGTATCCAGCCAGGTGGGTATTTGTACAGCAGCCGGTCTGGCTCATGTTTGTGTCATGCAGAAGTGGAAGCTGAATTATAGCACACACTTCACATCTGCAGAAAAATTAATTTTCTTTCCATAAGAGCCCAGTTCCTCAGTTTCCCCATGATGGGACAAGTGGGGCTGTGGAGTCCACATCACTCCAAGCACAAGTAATCTGGTACCTGTGAACCTGAAGCTGAAGCAATCCCGTAGGAATGCCTCTCTTGGGATTTAAGGGTGTTTCAAAGGCTTGTTCATGGAACTTGTTAAAAAAAAAAAAAAGGATGGGGACATGGGAGAAGGCAGCTTGATGCTCAAACCCAGCTCTTAGTAATTCAGGTTTTTTTCTTTTTAAAATTTATTTGGAACTTTCAGGAGTTCTGGATTAACTCAGGTCATGTACTGACCTCTGTGCTGCAGTCATGTACTGTCCCTGAGCTGCAGAGCAGTCTCCAAGGTCCAGCCCTTGATCCCAGTATAACAACAGAAAACAAATGCTTCAGATTGGCAAAAGGTAGTTTCTCTCCATGTGATTTTCAGGCACAATCAGGAACAAAAGTCCCAGATTATCAAATAGCTCTTGGACACCTTTGCCACTGGTGGGAAGGGCTGTGGCTGAGCTCTCTTGCTCCCAGGTCTTTGGGACAGGAGATGTGGTAACCTGGAGCTGGGTGGTGATTTGTCACACGAGGATGCAGCTGAGGAGACAGAAGCAATGACCACACCAAATCCAGTCCTCTCTTCCCCTCTCTCCTCCAGGGTCCAGAAACAGCTGCCTTTGACCACTGCAATGCAAACACTCTCTATTGCCATCTGCTACTTGCTTTACATTAAACTGCCTTGAATAAAAATAGACTGCTGCTGTGCTTTATCACAAAAGCACAAAGCTGAAGCAGGGAGTTCTCAGTTAACCATTAACACTTAAAGCTGATTAATTTTCCATCTCTCCAGCTGACAATTTCAAATAAGTCCATTAGTTAATTAAACCTGTGCAGCTCTGGGTGCCAGTGTTGTTTTGATTGCTGACTGGGATGTGTCCATCCTGCCTCTGTGATAATTCCTGGCAGGACACAGAAGTTGACTTTCCAACTTGCTTTTTGTCCATTAATTTTTGTTAGCCCTGTGGAAAGAAGGCTGCCTGCTAATGCAGCACTGCTCTGGGTGCTTGGCAATTGCCTGACTAAACTGTTTGCCCTCTTCTCTGCTGGGATCCAGATGATAATTATCTCGTGAAGATCATTGTGCTGCCTCTTAATTGTCTGATGTGGTTTGAGCTTTGGTTCCATTACACGCTGAAAACACATTGAAAATGGTCTTTAAATAGTAAAAGTGCTTTGGTTTTCTATGGGCACAGTCCTGTAAGTCTTTAAGTTCTATTCCTGATTGCAATGGAATCAGAATGGCTGCTCCTTGGAGTTATGAGGATGCAAACTTTCACTGTTCAAACCACCTTATCCTGCCCTCCTGCTCGATGACTCACCGGCTTTAGCGTCCTGATTTCATCCGAGACAACTGCTCAGCAGGAATGGTGAACTTCAGATCATCTGACAAGTTTTGGCATTTGCTGCTCACCAAAAGGGGAATGTGGTTTTGCTGGTCTGCTCAGAAGGATGGAAAAAGTGTTAAAATTTTCACAAGAAGTGTCTTGCGCCTTTTGAACTTCACTCTAGTGGATGACGTTACTTTAGTGAGGAAACATTTGTGGGTTTTCTGTTTTCCCTTGACAATTTTTCTTTGTTTTGCAGGCATATTATTTTCTCTGGTGTTTGTTTCTTTGTTTGTTTGTTTGTTTTTGTTTGTTTGTTTGTTTGGGGGTTTTTGTGTGTGGTGTTTTGTTTTTTTTTTACCATTGAACTTTGTTCTTCTTGCTTCAGACGTGTGGACCTGAACACAGGCTGGCTTTTAAAAGCTGGTGTGTGATTTTTGGGCTGGTTTTTTGTCATAATTTTATTTTTGTTTTTTAACTTGTAGTCTAGGAATGTGTTGCAAGCAAGTTCATCTCAAAGCTGCATCCCAAATATTTACCTGCTAAAGGTTGCATGGACTTAACAGCCATTCATTTACAGACTGTGTGCCCATGCCCAAGATGAAACCAAGGCTTTTCAGACAGATTTGATTATTGCAGTTGTATGTATCTGTCTTTGAAGAAAACTTTCTCTTGAGGTCAGTTTGCCACAAAAATGGATTGGGCAGGGTTGGCACAAAATGCTGTGGAAAAATTCATGCCACTATATTTTTTAGCTTACAAGTATTTTTGACAGACAGAGGTGATTTTATGGGAGTTTGGATGCAGTGTGGGTTTTTTTCCTCTGTCATCCAAATCTGCTTGCAGTGGCAGCAGCTTTCTAAAAAAGTTGATTGAGGGAATTCTGTTTGTTGTTTTTTAGTCTAAACCTAAACATTTAAATTAAAAGAGGGAAAAAAATTCCTGTTTTTTTCTAATGAATGTTTTAGTGTCTGGATCAATTGCAGACTCAAACTCCAGCTTTCCCGAGGTCTGTACATTGGGGCTGACCTCTCCCACCAGCATGGGCTGCAGGTGTTTATAAGCAGCTACTTTTCGGGGACTGAAGGCTCGGATGCTGGTTGCTCCATGGTGCAAAGGGCACGGAGAAGGACACGGAGCAGCCCTCGCAGCTTTGAACCTGGAGACAACATCCTGCTGAGTGTGAGCCCTGCCTGTCCCTCACAGACTGACATCCCTCCCCTGAACTCTTCCAGTCTGCGACGAGCACTCGGACTACAAGGATGCCAAGCTGCTCTACCGCTTCCGCAAGGATGACGGGACCTTCCCTCTCAGCAAGGATGTGAAGGTGTTCATGCGAGGGCAGAGTCTTTATGAGAAGTACGTGAGTCCTATCCCGGCACTGGGGTGTTGGGAATGTGCTCTGCTGGCTGTGCTGGCTGCTGGTGCTCTGCAGCTGGGAGCCACAGCTCCTGCTGGCTTCGCTTTCCCTTCTCTGTACCCAATGCTGTCCCTCTGGGAAATGCTGTTTCCTGAGCCCTGTCACAGCTGCAGGACAACCACCATCCTTGGGGATGGAGCAGGAGCTGTACTATGAACTCATGGATGCTTCCAAGGGCTCCAGCCCAAGTGCAGGTTCTGGGATCTGTATAAGGAAGCACTAGAGTTCAGTCTGAGTGCTCCTGGGATTAGAATGTCCAGTGGCCATTCCCAGTGACCTTCTACCCTCCTCCAATGAGCTGCTTCCACCAGCTCTTTTAGGACTTGTGGCCAAAGTCAGCAGGGTATGGGATTTTCAACACCCTTGTGAGCCTGGGGCCCCGTGTCTCAGTCTATTTGCAAAATTTGTCATGGAAAAGCTAATTCTCAGACAGTAAAGAAAACTCCTTCCACCTCCAAGTGTTTAGGTTTTCTTGTGTTGATTGTTTCTGGCTTTAAATCCAGGCCACCTTCCCAGGGTTCAGCCTCAGCTCACCCTCTGGACTTGTTTCCTTTAACAGCCCCTTCACACCTTCACACCCTCACAACCTGCTGATCAGAGCCACAAACTGGCGCTGAAGGAGAAGTCCTTCATCCAGGCAGGTGGTGATTTCGGGTGTCTCCGTGCCCCTTCTCCAGATGTGCATCCCTTGGACTTTGCTTTTGATCTGCAGCAGTGTCCATGGGATGGGGAGAGCATCCAGCCAGCTTGTCTCATGGCTGAGCCAGCTGCACCCTCTCGTGGAGACGCTGGATTTTGCTCTCACATATGCTGCAGATGGAATATGTGCTGTCTGAAACCCACCTTCTCCATCCATTTGGATATCTGCCATGTGTTTCCTGCATTTGGTTGCTTTTCCCTGCGTTCTTTAGCTGAGGTGGCAGCTGAACTGGTTTTACTGCAGCTGCTCCCTCTGCTGTGATGAAGATTCATAAAGATGCCTGACTGCAGCTCTGTGTTCCTCCCTCCTTTCCCACTGCTCCCAGGCAGCAATGTTTTGGCTGCAATGCTTTGCTCGCTTCTCTCGGCCTTGCTTTGTCTGTCTGCAGTTCCCATGAGGAATGGCAGGGATGTGTAGCATCATGGGAGCCGTGTCACTGCTTTGTGTGGCTGCAGCTCCTGTGAGGGATGGCAGGGATGTGCAGTGTCACGGGAGCCTTGTCCCACCTCTGTGCCAGGCTGGTGAGCATGGAAGAGTCAATTCTGAAGGTGAGAGAGGAGAACTCGGTGAAGTACCAGAGGACTTTCCTGGGCTGTGAGATGGTCGACTGGCTCGTTCAGGAGGGAGAAGTAGAAAACAGACAGGAAGCCGTGGAGCTGGGACAAGCACTGCTGGAGCATGGGATCATTCAGCATGGTGAGCAAGGGTCTGGCTGGAGCCGGGATGGAAAGCGAGGGATGAGCATAACTGTCAAGGCTGTGCTAGGAACAAACCCCCATTCATGTCATGCAACAAGTGCTGGTCAAGTGCCCACTTGGAGATGGCAATGGAGCCTTTTAGTTCTATGTTTGGAGCTGGTGACCTTTGAAACCGGAGCAATCTTGCACCACCCGCAAAGGCTTTGAGTTGAAATCTGAGCTACTGCTCTTCGGTTCTTCAAAGCTGCTGGCCACAGGCCTGGGATCCACCCCTGGGTTTGGAGGGCTGGGGTGTGAGGATGTAACGTTTAGCTCTGCTTGGCTGGACATCAGAACCATCTGCCGGAATTAAACCTGCAGTTCGGAAGGCAGGAAGTCCTCTGAGTGTCTTGGGACAGAGGCAGGTGGAGGGCTGTGACACCAAGTGCACCCCTGGGAGATGGCACCTCTTGGGGAGGTGGCCCTGCTGTCCCTCCCTCCCTGCAGGCAGCGTTCTCAAACAGTCAGAAAAACCGCAGTAGAGCACAGAGGCATTAAAAGCAATTCACTGGGGTCACTCACGATATTTGCTACATGTTTTTTGCACCCCCTCAGCCTCTCCCTCCTCCCCTGTTCTCTCCTAGTCTCCAATCGGCATCACTTCTTTGACAGTGACATCCTGTACCACTTCTGGATCAACTTCCGGCGTCGTCGTCGTCTCACAGAGCTGCTCAATGAGAACTCTTCTCGTGCCCTCTCCGAGAGCCCCGACAGCCCCTTCTGCCTTCGCAAGCTCAACCCGGACCCAGGCAACACCAGCTTTCTCTCTGGTAACTGGATGTGTTTGTGGAGGGGTGTGAAAGCAAGGATTACATTACCAGAGTGTCCAAGGGTGTTGCTCCAGCAGAGCGTAGGATGTTCCTCCAGACATCCTGTGAAGTGACCCCCCATCCCACTGGTTTGTGGTGGATGTCACAACACAGTGGCAATCTCTGTCACAGCTCCCCACCCCAGGAAAATAACTCAGCTTAGCATCAACTCAGCTCTAGATCTTTCTTTGAAGTTGGATTTATTCTATCTAAGCTCAAATGCCATCTTCAGCGGGTGCTTACCTTTCAGGTGTGGGTCAGTCTTTGGGGTGAAGTTTGTTATTTTAAACTAGACTGTTTCCTCCTTGAGCAATTGTTATTTCTGCCTCTTTCAGTCCAGACCAACAAGGAGATCAAAATTGTCTCAGCAGTTCGAAGGAGTAGCATCACTTCCCTCTCTGGAAACTCCAACCCCTACTTCAGTGCTGCTCCTACATTGGTATTCCCTCCTGTGGCCGAGTGCAACCCCAAATCAGGTCTGGGCTTCTGCATTGCCCTGTTGTTACATGGGATACATCCATTCCTTCAGGGCACAGGCTCGCTCAACCCCAACTCATCAAGAGGAGAGGGTCAGCCTCACCTCTGCTTTGTGATTTAAAAAGTTGTGCAAGTGTTTGGAAAAACCCTGAGATGAATGCAAGGATTTCTGTGTGCAGAATGGGTAATCCCCAGGCTGCCTTGTTATGCACTTTACAGTACAAACCCCTTGATTCTGACAGAATCTGTCACCTTCTGCTCTAGTGTTAAAGAGACCCGTCACCAATGAAGAGCTCCTGTCCCCTGGAGCCCCTTATGTCAAGAAAACTCTGACTGTGAGTGACCATTGTGAATGGCATTGCCAATCCATCAGTATTCAGCTCCCTGCCTGTGCTTGGATGGCTTTCTGTTGGCTGCTTTTATTGCATGTCACATCATCCTGGCTTTTGGTTGGTGACTCTCAGCGGGGAAATGTCTTCACATATTCTTGTGGGTGAAAATGTGCTCAGCCCCTGCAAAGGTTTAATGTATATTAAAGGGGTAGATTAGGAAAGACAATGTTTCCTGGACAGGAAAAACCTCCCACTTCAGAGGTTTTTTTTGGATGAGGCCCTGGTACAGGTTGCCCAGAGAAGCCGTGGCTGCCCCATTCCTAGAAGTGTCCAAGGTCAGGTTGGACAGGGCTTGGAGCAACCTGGTTGAATGGAAGGTGTCCCTGCCCATGGCAGGGGGTTGGAATGAGATGATCTTTAAGGTCCATTCCAATCCAACCCATACTAAGATTCTATGATTTCTGTTTCATCCAGCTCCATGCAAACTATAGAATCAGTAAGTCTTGTGACAGCTGAGACTGTGACACTCATCCTCTGTCACATGGCTTTGTGCACAGCTTTATGCATCTTTCAGGTTCCTCTGCAGATCAGGGTGTGTTGATGTGATCCGTCAGCAGCACAGAATAGGGGGAGCATCCAAGGGCCACTCTTGCCTTTCTTATGATGGGCTTTTTACATGGACAAATCTCCAGGATGCTGCAGACAACTCGAGTTTGAGCCTTTTCCTTTTCTAATTATTTCTAAAGCTGTAGGATGGGTCAAGGCAGGGCTGGTAGGTGCTGGGTGTAAATGTTGCAAGACAACTCCTGACCTGTGGGTCTTACTGTGCTTGGTTATTTTTGTGTAAAACTTCTCATGTCTTCACTGCCTGCCTCTGAAAGGGGGGATCTCACAGAAACCATGGGGGCTGTCTTCCATACTGATTTGACACAAAGGGGACTACAAAAGGAGCTGTGGATAAGGTTCCCAAATTAAGTGTGCCATAGAAAGTGGTGGAAAAGAGCAAGAAAAATAAAGCTGGTGATTAGCATGGCACGTATGAGGATGTGCTGTTCATTCTCCTCCTGAATGCTCTTGCCCTGCCCTTCAACTCTGCCAGCCTGGGCCTTTCATGGCTCATTTCCTCCTGCTTAGCTCTGCAGTTGCTGTTATTTATTTATATGGGTGATGTGCAAAGTCTCTTGGGAATTCCTTTTCTCTTTTAGTCACATCAGAGGGCCGCAGTACTACAGCAAACTGCTCTGACAGACTGACATCAGAGTGGAAAAGGCAAGAGGGGCTACTTCCACCCTGGAAATGCTCTGCTGTGCCAAGGAGAAGGCACCGTGTGCGTGCTCTGGAGATGTTCTCAGCACACTCTCGGTGCATGCCTCGCACTTCAGCTTAATACTGCCTGTGCTTCACTCTTCTGCTCTTGCTGGCAGGGAATATTAATCACAAAGCAGCTTTGCAGAGAGCAATTAACCAGTTCTTCATCTCACTGGAGCACAACCCTTTCTCTCCCACCCAGAAGAGACTAGGATCACGAGCTCTCCATCTCTCTGGGAACTGTTGCATCTCCTCTATCCAGCCCATTCCTTGGTTTTTAAAACCCTTTTGTTCTGCTTGTAGATTGTGGGGGATGCAGTGGGCTGGGGGTTTGTGGTCCGAGGAGGAAGACCTTGCCACATCCAGGCAGTGGACCCAGGAGGACCTGCTGCTGCTGCAGGGATGAAGGTACTTCTTCCTCATGGTGACTTAACTGGAGGCAAGACTTCTGTCCTGTTTGATCTTTCTGGGCTGAACACATCCTCCATGATAATCCCACCTCCTGCAGTGGAGATCAGACCTATGGAGTCAGCACATGGAGCTGTGGGAGAGGTGGAGGGAAGGAGGACCTCTGCAGGCAAAGTGCACCCTGTGCGGTGGCACAGGGGAGGATTTGCCTTTGCCAGGGCAGCACAGGGGCTGTGGGCAGCTAGAACTCAAAAAACTCTCTCAAAACTAAACCATCCCTGTGGTAGACTTTGGAGCTGTCAAAACTGTTTGAGCTGCTGAAAACAAAGCAGAGAATTCCCAGTTCAACTCCAGTGATTTCCCAGTGAAGAAGGGAAGGAACAGAGCTTTATCCTGGATCACCTGCTCTCACAGCTCCTGAGATCCAACACATTTTGTTTCCCTACTATCAGCAATGGAGTTCTACATGGAGCTTTTTTCCATGTGAATGAAAGCTGAATAACCTTAGACTGATGCCTTGATTTGATTCATCAAGTAACTTCCAGTATTTCCAGCTCAGGTGAAATGAAGTGAGATCTTGAAACTCATTTTGAGCCCAGGCATGTATGAGTTTCACCTATAGAGTTTTAGGCATGCATAAAAGAAATGTTGAGTTTCCCAGTTCCTTATAGAGACCCCAGCAGACAGAGAGAATCATTTCTACAAGCTGATATAAATCTAAAGTCACATGGATATTTGGAATAACGGGATCCTTCAGAGGCAGAGTGTGACTCCTTGTTTGCTTCAGGCAGGATTCGGAGGGGATGGATGAATTTGTTTCATTTACTCAAGAGCCCAGTTAATTTCTCTTTACCTAATCTCATTTGCTACCAAATTGCTAGATGTTAATATTGTGCCTCATTTCCATCTGTGAAATGAACCACTGCTCATAAATGAGTCTTTTTTTCTCTGTTAGCTCACAGTCTAAATCCCTTTGGTCCCATTTTTATGATACAGTGATTGTAACACTGTGATATCAGTGTAGCTGTGGAGTGGTGATGCTTTGGGGTTTCAAGGCTTTTGAGGCAAGTTATTTGCATCACAGCCTCTGGCTCCAGTCATTCATGGGCAGAAGGTGCCAAGAGACTGAAGGTAACCCCTCCCTCCTCTCTTGCAGGTGTGCCAGTTTGTTTTCTCAGTGAATGGTGCGTGTGTTTTGCATCTGGACTATCAGACCATCAGCAGCCTCATCATGACAGGACCACGGACTCTCGTGATGGAAGTCATGGAAGCCAGTGATGAATGAAGGAGTCTCATCCCACTGCTGTTTGGAAAGGCAGGACACTCTACTAAGCAGGGATGGACTGTGGGGAGGGACCAAGCTTGACCATTCACTGTGACGTGTTACCCAGGCATTTTAATATATTTTCAAATAAATACATTCTAATGGACAAGTCTTGGATTTTTACATTCCTCAAATTCTCTCCCTGCTCTCAGGCATGCCTCAGCTCTTGCAGGTCCTTTTTAGTGCCAGTGTGAGAATTCAGCACTTTATGACCCAAGCCTTAGAACAAGCCATCCACCAGCCAGGCTGCAAGGCAGGTGGTAAAGCTGGTAAGCAGCAAGAAGTTTGATACCCAGTGAGTATGTCTGAGCTCCCCTGAGCTGTCTGTGCAGTCTACCGAGAACACAGTGTGCTCTCCAGATGGCCCCATAAGCTGTGCCATCGGCTCTGTCAAGAAAATAAGGAAATGAATACAGGAATGTGTGCTTCCTTGGAAAGTCTGAGGCTCCTGCTACTCTGTTGGCTTAGCCACACTCACAGCCGGGGCTGGTTGCTGTTCCCAGCTGTTTCTTGAAAAGGGGAGACTTCCATGATGGTGCTTTTTGTGCCCCCACTCCTTTAATAATGCTTAAATTAATTAATCGGCTTCACCTCAGCGTGGAGGCAGGAGAGGTCCCAGATATTGTAGGCTTCTACCAACCAAGTGGTGGGGGGCAGTGGGGGAAAGGAGAGACCAAAAGCAGAATGTGCCCAAAAGTGTGTCCTAGTTGGAGTTTGACTCAGGGAGGGAACAGAAAAGAGTGAAAGCCACCAAAATGCAGCCCACCCGGACTCTGTTGCTTGCAGGATGACTGTGTTTGTAGTCAGTGCAAAATATTCCTTGCAAACTACCCTGAAAGTGAGCTAAAAATAGAATAACAGGTAATAACAAGAAACTGGGGAGGTTTCTTGCTTTCCAGTTCACAGAGCATCCTGCTTGTGATTAGCCTGCTGTGCTGTGCACAGAGACGATGATCTCCAGCACTCCTGCTTAGGGCAGGGCTCTCCGTGCAGCTTGGCCACAAACCAAGCCTTAAAAAAACCCCCAACTCAAACCCAAAAAAGCCCCAAAATAGTAATTTTGATTTGTGTTAAAGTGGGATTGACTTTCTTGGAAAATCTGGTGGCAGCTGTGTGTTAGGTATTGCCTTACTGCTGGCTGCCTTTTTTTTTTCCCTTGGTATAAAGGGATATGTGTTCCCCCAGTTCTGGTGCTGAAGTAATAGGACTACTTGGAGTTCAGCATTCCTGGAACACGGTGCAGGCAAGATGTTTGCATTGATAATCCACTGGGGTCCCTCCAGCCCCTAAGTGAAACCAGACCATCTTCTCAGCCGTTTGTCAATACACTCCCAGTTGTTAATTGTAGCCATTCAGTGCACGAATAAAGCAGCCTCAATCTGCCTTTTTGTTTTTTAAATTCTCTTCAGGGAGCGTTTGGGTGTCCCTGATGGCCCAAAGGTTTAACCCGAGGTGTGTTCAACTTGAACTAAGGTCAAATCCAGGCATTGTGTGGGCACCTTGGGAAAGGCAGGCCAGAAAGCAGCAACCTGAACACAAGCATGGAAGCAGGTCCAGATTTTTCTGATGTAAACACAGCAGGAATTTTTAGCTCTGTATCTGAATTCCATGAAGTGAAGCACAGGAGATATGTGCTTTTTCCTTTCTCACCTTCTCCTACTTTTAAAGTAAATTGTAGCAAATCTGAGCAAATTCTGAAATCCAGTAGGAATTACAGAAGAGGTAATTTGTGGTATTTCCTGGTAAGGCAGTGACAACTCTCTCTTCATGGGGTACCAAATGCTCCATGTTTTGTTTTAATATGATTTGTTGCCCGGGGAAGCTGTGTCTGCCCCATCCCTGGAAATATTCAAGGTTAGGTTGGACTGGGCTTGGAGCAACCTGGTCTAGTGGAAGCTGTCCCTGCCCATGGCAGGAAGATTGGAACAAGGTGGTCTTTAAGGTCCCTTCTAATCCTTTCTGTGATTCTATGATTTAAGTGCTTCATTTTGGCATTATCCTTTGATCTGTATATTGTGATGCTTTAAAACACTCACAAAGTTATGAAACAAAACTGCAATGAACTAACCAATGTTCATTTATTATGCAGAATGTTTTGAAAACTATTATTTTTTTTCCATCTAGCTTGACTGTTCCAAAGGCACCTGCGTTTCCCATGGAATGGCAATTCCAAATGTCTTATAGCTCGCTTGGTTGCAATGGGAGAGTGATGCTGACAGTCCCTGTAGATGCAGCTGAAAATCTGGCTTCCATTTGTAATGAGAAATGACACTGTCAGTCATTCCACTCCTGCCAATGAGGACAAAATCCTTCCAAAAGACTTTTGGCAGGGAGCTGGGTGTCTCTCCCAGGTGCTCCTGGCTCTGAGCACCTCACGCTGGAGCGGATCAGGGCTGTATCCCACAGCCGGGGAGCCCGCAGGCACCATCGAGCTCCAGCTCATGATTCAGCCTCTGGCCTTGCAAAACTTACAGATGTGCCTAATTTCCTTAAACAAACGCAGCACAGCTCGCCTTCAGTGCACATGCTGGGCTCTCAAAATCATTTAATGGGATGCGGGTGCTTCCCGGGGAGTCTGGCGGTGGGCGGGAGCCACGGCTTGTTGCTGCGTTCTAGGAAATCAGCGTGCAGATTCCCAGACGGATATTTTACTTAGTTAGCAAAGCCACTAAAAGCCGTTTACTGCTTTTCACAGAGGCAGACTCTTGCTTTTCATGCTTTATTTGGCTGCACGAAGGGGCCAAGCCGCTGCGTGCGGAGAGGGAGGTGGGGGAATCCCATCCCTCTCCCCCTGCTCTCCCTCCCCTTCCTTATCCCTCCTGACGTCTGGGAATTGAAATCTTTAATCGCGCCGAGGAGCGGACGAGGCGCCAGGGCGGCTTCTCCCACAATTTAAGAATGTAGCTGGATTCCCGCAGCTCCCGGCTGACTCCAGGGGAAGCCCCGCCGCTCCGCAGAGGTCTGTGGCTCGTTCCCCTTTGGGGCTCGGTTCGCAGGGATGCTCAGGAGGGGCTGTGCTGTTTTGGGGAGTGTGTGGGGATCCCAAGCAGGGAACTTCTGCAGGGTTTTGCTCTCCGGGAAACTTAGAGCTGGTGTAGCTGAGCTCGGGGCAGCACTGCCGATGCCACACAGGGGTGACAGGTCTCATCCTCTCTCTTACTGTGAAGTGGCTTCGAGGCTCACATTCCCTGCCAGTCGGTCTAAATACTACCAGGACTACTTTGGCAATTCTTTAGGAGTGATGGCTGTGAGAAATGCACTTTTGCCTGTTGGTTTGATTTTTTTTTTTTTTGTTCTATTTTTGGTTAATAGTGCAAAACTGCAGGAAATGGTTGCCAGAAAGGACAGTGCTTGGAAGGGTTTGCTATCTGTGTGAGTTTTTCCCACCTGGAGGTGTGAGTGGGTCGGTATCAAGTTGAAGTTACTCAGCCTGATAAGTTGGGAGTGTTGCAAATGTTCAACCTAGAAGTGAAACTTATTCCTGGCTTTTTGAGGCTGGTGCTGGGATAATTGTGACTTTTTGTTGATTACTGGAACTGAAATACAGGAACTTTCCAGGAGAGAACAGAAAGGGGTTGATGAATGTGGTTTTTTAGTCTGGTTTAGGTCCTTCTACCAGCAAAGCACTCAGGGAATGCGGGACAGTTTTATTCCCTGCAGTTGGCTGCCTGCAGGGCTGTCCCCAGCGCTGCTCGTGTGTCCGGCAGCGAGTGGGACACGAGGTGACATTGCTTCTGCCGGTACTTCTGTGCAGAGACAGTGATGGCCTCTGGGATGAGAAAACGTCCCCAAACTGTGGCTGTGGAAAGCAGAAATTATTCACAGTGCCCCCAGATCCTCACCTTTAGTTGTGCTGCTTTAAGTAAGTGGCAGGAATTTTTTGCACTGATCTTTTTTTCTTTAAATAAAGTGAGTACTTATAAAATTTCCCATACAAATAAGAGGATCTCTGGCCACATTAACCTCCAAATCCTCTCTGAGCACACAGCTGGGGCAAGTGGAAATGTCCCACACACACACCTATTTTCCAGGCCCTGGAAATACTGACCACATGCTCCATGTGTTGCTGTCTCCAAATTCCTTCCCTGAGGGTAAGTAACAGGAGAGAGGCTCCCTGCCTGCCAGCAGGCTGGTGTCACCGTGGTCCCCTGAGTCCCAGGGTCCACAGCTCAGCCTGGCTGGATGCTGGGACCAGTGATGGCAGAAATGGATAGGGAGGGACCACAGAGCCCTGGAGTGGGGGCTTGGGACCTGGCAGGTGACCCGTGGAGAGGAAGCTCTGCAGGGAGGGTAGGAGAGAGCTCCTCCAGCTGTGTCTTCCACCATTTCAAACAGGTGCATTTGTTATTTGTGATTTAAAGGGAGGAAAATGAATGTTGGAGAAGAGGCTGAATAGTGATGGATTTGCCTCTGAATTTTTTGCTCTTCGCTTTAGTTACAGTAAAGATCCACACCCTGAGGACAAACTGTATCCAGCCTGGGTTAACCCCTGGTTTACTGTGAGTGTGGTGAGGCCCTGGCACAGGTTGTCCAGAGAAGTTGTGGCTGCCCCAGCTCTGGAAGTGTCCAAGGCCAGGTTGGACAGGGCTTGGAGCAACCTGGGGTAGTGAAAGGTGTCCCTACTGCTGGAACAAGATGAACTTTAAGGTCCCTTCTGGCCCAAACCATTCTGTGATTATATGATAATATTTAACTCATCTTTGCCATCAGGTGGAAGCTCAAGCCTTCAGGGCAAACAGAGCCTGCAATAAACCCAGATCAGTGCAGGCTGGAGGAGCCCACAGGCTTAATTTTCCGGACTTCAGATTCCATGTAACTCTGGTTAACATGAAAACATAATACACAATCCAGTAGTTTTGCCAGAGTTTGGCATCTAATTTGCCAGCAGAGCCGCGGGGAATTTGCAAGGCAATCAAGGCAGTTTGGTGGCATTGCAAAAGGGCACAAATGAACTTTTAATTCAGGGACTTTTTTTAAAAGAATGCCTGCTTCTTGCTGCTGTTTGGCACATGCATCTCTGAAGCCAGGGCAGGCTTTGTTTTTCTGGAGCTGATAGTCAGAATCCCAAACCCCCCCCGTAAAATGTTTGCTGTTTTTTATAAGCAATGA